CCTCCCTGCGCTGTGAATGTTTACATGTTATGTTCAATTAAACCATGACAACATGTAATGTTTGTGTATTATTATTTTCAGCAGACTGTGTTTTTCTATTGTTGTGACTTAGATGACGTTCAGAGCACATTTTATGACCAATTCATGCAAAATTCCACGTTATCCCAAGGGGTTCACATACTTTTTCTTGCAACTGTATACTATATACTATGGAGAGAACAGAGCAAAAATGGCAATGAAAATAGGGTATGAGTTGAAAGTAATCTTTCCAACATGGGTCTGGATTTCAAGTTGCATTAAAGGGCTGAGAACCAACAAGGGTTTAATATATTCAATTTTTCTTCAGTTTTGTTCAAACTGAACAGAAGAGTCCAAAAGAGAGACAGTGAGCTATGTCGGGTTTCCCCATTCTATTTTCTGGCTAACCACTGAAGGAGTACGTCGTACATTTGCCTGAAACAAAAAAAACACCCCTTTATTAGGCCATGAACTAAACAAAACAACACAACATAGTAAACCAAGACTGGGCTTAGGCTTATGCAACAAACCAAAGTTGACAAAAAGCAGTCCTTATCTTTGCATAATATATGTCCAAACAAATAAACTATGGCTTATTGTGATAGCCTGAGTCACATAACATTAGACACAAGGGATAGGAACTAACCAGGGTAGGGGAGCTTTGCTGTTTTCCACACACATATTTTCCAGCAACCTCTCCATTCTTAACAACTGATCAGATGCTTTTAATATTCCAGTAAGATCTACTGTTCATTTCAAAAAATTGTAAAATCACTTAGGCTTTTCATCTTCAAACATATAAATGAATAGCCTCAGAACCCTCTATGAAATACTAGACTCTACACCACTTCAACCAAACACAAATAACTTCAAGAGGTTTTTTTCCCCGACAGACAGTGACCCAATTCAGCTCTTTTGTGCATTTCCTAAGTCTTTTGGTAAAAATAATGTAACACTAAATCTCAGCAACACCAAACGAAATCAACTATTTGCTCCTTCTACCATCTATGGATACATAGTATTTACAGTATAACAATAAAATTACCTAGAAAAAATAATTCTGATTTCTGAAATATGATATCCTATACATGTTTATCCTTTCAATATTGGGCTGTAGAAACTGTTTACCCAGGCCATTGCAAAATGTAATAAAATTTTTGATCATGCTTACTGAAGGATTGCTGATGGGAGAAGAGGTCACAATAATCTCAGAGACATCAGGTGCACTGTTTCTGATGCAGCAGATCCAATGCCAGTATGCTTCTCTCACCTGAAAATCCAAAAATTCAAGGTCAGTAGGTGGAATTATCTACTAGTCTCCTATTAAAGCGGGAAATCCTCATTTAGCAACTATAATCGGGATTGACAACTTTAAGTGAAGTAGTGGCTGAGTCAAACTATGCTGTGTTTATGACCTTACTTCAGCTTTCCTTTGCTTTATAGGTTTGCAAAGGTTGTAAATGACAGAATTGGTCACAAAGTTACATTTTCATTGCTGTTGTAATAGCAAACAGTTGCTAAAGGAGGCTGTCATTAAATAAGTACTACCTGTATGTGAAATACTCCAAAGCAAAGAAATCAAATCAGCTATGTTTTGGGTTGTGGATTTGTTTGTGTATATTAGAAATCAAAGTAATTAATCCACAGTATTCTCCCTGCAAATAGGCTGTTGAGAAGTATTTCCTCTTGTACTTCCCTAGTCTGTTTATCTTCTCTAAAGGAATGTTAAAGATTATATACATTTTTGTCATTTCTGAAACGTCCAGTAATGTCTGGTTGTATAATGATGGGTACTCAGTTAAGAAGATACTGAAATAAAGGGAATGTACATATTTTGGACAGCCATTTAGTAAATTCCATTTATAATCTCCAGTCCTCTGTGAAGTAAAGTAAACTTCACAGAGAAGTTTACTTTACTTTCTGTAAAGACAAACTAAAAGGATGGAGTTATAGAGAGCAAAACTGCTCTTTATATTTAACAACAAAGAGCCTCCCCCCCAAAAAAACCCCCTCTTTGCAACATTCCAGAAATGTTCAGTGAAAAATGAACACATTTCCTCTATAGGCATTACAAATATGGCTTCAGATCCACAAGAGAAGCAAATATCCCACTCTGTACCAATCAATCAGTGGTGCTGCTGCTGACTATAACGGGAAGGATTTATGCCAAGGGAAATTCAGTTCATTTGCAGAGTGAATTTGAAGTAACATTTGTTACTACCACATTCTTTATCTCTAGCATGAACAAGAAACTGGGAGTGAGAGAGGGCTCTAACCAGTGGTGGGATTCAAATATATGAACAACCGGTTCTCTGTGTGGATGCCGCTTCCAGAAGTCCATTCTGAGCCTGGGCAACAAAAAAATTAGCTACCAGTTCTGCTGAAGTGGTGCGAACTGGCTGAATCCCACCACTGGCTCTGACTATTCCTGTACCAGAAGCTCACAAAATCCTGAACCCAGTCTGGATAATTTGGGATATTACGTTGTTTGTGTGGTAACCTACATTCTGTGCAGCCCTCTCTTGTTTTCTACACCAGTGATTCTCAGCCAGGGGCCATATGGATATTTCAAGGGGCACAAAGGTGAACAATACATATCAGGAGGCCACAGAAAATCAAAGGATACTATGCTGTAAACACTGTCTTTATTACAAATAAAAACATATTTTTCATCAATAATGTGACCTAGACAGGGGACCACAGGGAGGAAAAGTTGAAAAACACTGCTATACAACACCTTTTGGTTGAGTAAGCAGTACACCAGGAAAATGAAGATTCCTTGCACACTGTTGGTGATGGTGAACAGGTATGCCATAATGTCTTCCACAGGGCCATATTGAAAGAGGCCCAAACACCAGGTCACACCAAGGATGAACACATGGGCTATGGCCTTAAATATCAGTGACCTACAACAAAGGCAAGATATCAACAGAGAAATGACAGTGCTGAAAAGAGAGCATCTGAATCCATCTAAGGCAGGGGTAGGCAACTATGGCAACTTTACGACGTGTGGACTTCAACTCCTAAAAGTCCTGGCTCAGGAGTTCTGGGAGTTGAAGTACACAGGTCATAAAGTTGCCTAGTCCTGATCTAAGGTAATCGTCTCCCCCTCAACTGACTCTGTGATAGAATGAAACCAGAACTTTCACTTCCCAGGAAGGATATAAATGAGATATGTGGAATAATGGGAAATGATTAAAGTTGATTGTGGCCATAGTCAAAGAAGGAGGGAAAGAATGGGAAACTAGTACAGTAGGCCATTATCAATCATTTGGAGTTTTCCCTTTGCTGAGACAGTTCACATAACATCCACTGCTTATTCCCAAGATTAAGGTCATGGGTTTGATGTTCTGGTGACAAAATCCTTGTTTTAAAATCAATGAACATTGAGACATCCAATTTCATATTGCACCTATGCTTCAGTAAAGTCATTATCCTCTGCAGATGCCCAGCCAGTATGCATCCATATATTTCTGCAAAATGGAGGAACAATCTAGATTCTACAATTTTTAGCTCAAAGGGGCAAAAGATGGTGATCTCCATAATGAAAAGGCCTCTTTGCTACTGATAGTTTCTAATCAATTCACCCCTCCCCCAATTTTTGCCAACCTCATGCATACAAAGACCTCAGCACCGTTCTCCACTATATGAGTTTCTATATTTGATCCCCAAAACTTGTACAAGTTTTGTATCTCTCAATTTGTCACGAAAAAGAATTTTGAAGCATTACTTTTTATTCGTGAAGATCATACTGAACTGTACTCCACATTTCATGCTTTGTGATAGCTCTTACCTGGTATTTTTGACTGAAGATATCTCTGAATTGAGAGAAGCCAATTTTTTATGCAGATTCCTCAGAATAAGACAAAAAAACACTAAGTTGACCTTTGGGAGGAAAAAAAGCCTTCAGAAAGAAATAAAGTAATGATAACAACAGCAGATAAATAATGTTCTAAGTCTAAATAAGATGAAGAAGAGAGAACAACTGTTGGTTTTAGATTAGGGGTCCCCAACCCCCGGGCTATGGCCCACTACTGGGCTGTGGCCCATTCAGAACAGGGACCTGTGAGTTGTGGGGAAGAGTGCATCTGCTTGCAGCCCCACTCGTGCGAGCAGTGTGTGCTTATGCTTGCAGCCCCTCTTGCATGAGCTATGTGCACATGTGCCACCTGTCCCTCACACAAAACCATCCCATCTTCCCCCCTCCTGCACACACACTGGGCTGCCAATCCAGAAAAGTTGGGGACCGCTGTTTTAGATTATACATTTGGTAGCTGATGGTTTTAATGAGTGGACATCTACCTCTATTTTAATTATAGCTGACAGAAAAAATAGAAATTTCTGCATTTCAGGACAAAATGGGTTAACTTTTCATTCTCAAATTCATCTTTTCTTTCTCTCCCTAACAGTATAAAATAGTATAAAATTGCAGCTCTTTGCAAAATATTAGAATTAATTAATTTCCCTTGTGTAGCTGAAATAACTGGTTTTCCTGCATTTTTAAAAACTTAGGAGCATTGTCCAATACATTGTAAATATAGAAAGACCAACCAAGGTTGATGTATCCATTTTAGCTACATGAGATCAAGTTCTTTTTCTCTTCTTTCTTATCTCAGAAAAAAAGTTATAACATTCTTTAATTTCTCTACTGTAAAAAATAAGAGACAATATTTGCTCACCACAATTATTGCACAGACAGGTCCGGTAAAGCTCCAGATAAAATCTGGGTTAAGCCAGCAGCTAAAGAAAAAGAAAAATCATCAGAAAAAAAGTAGACAGAAATGCAAACAAATGTATTGTACAAAATTGCTTTCTCTGAGTAATATTAACAATTATGCTCATGTAGCTTATATCTTAGAGGCACCAGGCTGAGGGAACCAGCTTTTAACCATATGCCAAGACTTACCGATAAAGTGTCCCAAAGGCTCCAGGGTTAATTACTGCAGAAATAGCTACGATCAGGACAGGAAACCCATAACCAATGAGGTACATGCATATCTTCATATACTTGCTGGCCCCGCTGTAATTTGCAACTTTCAAGTTTCTGACAATGAGGTAGAGATTGACACCTTCCAAGAACATCCAGACAAAGCAGGCCAAAAAAAGATACTTCAGCATTCCAGCTATGATTGAACACAGGATCTGAATCAAAAGTAAAATGCCATTCCTTTATCAGCATCTCATTATTAAATTGTTGGCTTTGAAAGAAAATCAAGAATGGGCTATAAAAAAGCAGAGAAATGGAACAAATCATATCTGACATTCATGTTTCCACCAGCAGTGCTGTAGGAAAAAATTGTGCAAAGTAACCCTTCTTTCATTTGAGATATGCCACTATCATAAGGCTAATAAAAAAGCTAAAAGAATTATGTTTGCAAAGAAAACTGATTCAATTCAGTCAATCTAAAGAAAAATGAAGATTTCTTAGGTAGGAGGCATGCTCAGATGGGGTTCTCTATCCACTGAGCAGAACATCACATATTCTTCTGAAATACCTTGTTGCCTGTTTTATCTATTCCAATTATGAAGAGGAGGTCTGCAAAAAACAGGCAGAAGCTCAATTGTAGGTGGATGAAGGTGCTGCTGTTGTGGCTGGAGCGGCAGCAGAGGAATGTGACAATACACAGGAAGAGGCAGATGACTGAGATGGACAACCCAAGGTAGCTAATAATGGTGAGGATCAGATCTCCCTGGAAAGAGAATTTCTCAACATTATACGAACCACCTTTTGACAAGAAAGTTACCTTTACACTTCATCTAGAATCTAGACTACAGGTGTCAAACTTGATCGTGTCATGTGACATATTGTGACGTATCATGACTTTTTTGCCTTTGCAAAGCCAGGTGGGTATGGCCTGTGCATGATGCATCTGGCCCATGGGCCGCCAGTTTGACCCCCCTGATCTAAACCAGAGATCTGACTTTCATATAAAAGCTATTCTATTACCTGTCTGCTTTTGTTGTATTGTGATTGGAAATGAAGCATCAGGATTTTTAAATCTTGAGGATTGTAAGTATTTCATAGTTTACTTTTCTATATATGAAAGGAAGGGGCCACAAATAGTTATGGAGAACTCTGCAGCATGTCAAATAGAAAAATACTGCTTCGATGATGAAAATTGTTATCTTCCTAGACAACAGCAGGACACAACAGTAGATACAGTATAACAAGTAAGAAAAAAAAACATGTTGTTTACCACATTACATTCCTGAGATGTTTTCAGAAGTAACATACGTGTTTATGAGTTGTGGCCATCAGTACAGCAAAACTGGACAGATGTTGACAGCTGCATTCTGTATGGGTGATGTTAGAAAAGAGCTGCCGGCAACCATGTTTGGACAAGGCACCAGAGTTCAAGTGGACACAAAGAACCTTTTCCTGGGCAACTTTATTCTGCAAGAGGGAAGTAATGTTGATGGCAGGTAGGGAAAAAATCTACATATTTACTTTATCCCCTACTGCACAGATGCAGAGTTATTAAACATTAACAAGGAAACAACTGTAAGACAAGCAAAAGGAACAATGTAAACATCACAGAATTTAAAGACCAGGAGACACAAATACTACTGAATGCATAAGCTTTGTAAAAATTGTTAGTGTGAAAAGGTGCTATCAGACTTCTGATTTATAAAGCTTGAACGACCATAAGGTCTGCTGAGAACATTTATATGGATTTATATATTTCTTGATATTCTGCTTTCTTTCTTAATATATATTCATAAGATGGAAAGAAAAAAAATGGCTTGTTTTCCAAAGTAACTTCATTTACATACCTTGAGATGCTGAAAAGTGAGATTGACCGGGGTAGAAATAGCCTGTATCTTGTTCCCGACAGAAACGCTTATCAGCCTGGAGTTCATATGAACATTTGTCAGCATTTCATTGTCCGGGAATGTTCCATTCTGCACTAAAGTCTCTTTTAAAAGTGATTCCAGCCCACCAGCCGATATAAAAGCCACAGCAACAGTATCTGCAAGAGACAGAAGGAAGATCAGGGAGAAAAATAAAACCAAATAAAGTATACATGATTTCCCCAAACCTGGGAAAATCTTGATAATGAAAGGATCGGCGTAGATCCATATATTTACTTCTTGGCACTACAAATTACTTTCTATTCCCTCAGTTTCACCTTTCCCAATTTAGTGTTTTACAGATATGTTGGATTGCAACTTCCCTAATCCAAACCAGAGTGATAAAACTCTCTGCAAGCTCAAAAATCTTAGGGTTGCACCTTACAGGGAGGGAGCAATAAAGTAGATTGTAAAAGTAATTTTGGATCTACTCTGTAGAAAAACCAAGCAAGTTATGAACAATACCTGTGGTCATGGCAGTCGCTGCTCTTGGATGGATGACCATTTGATCTCCTTGAGCTTTTAACTCCAGTGTTTCATTCTTTTCAAAGGATCCCGGACTGATAAGATTTGTTTGGATCACTGAAAAGACAGAGAAACGTTGAGTTCCTGAATGGATCTAATGAATGCTAGTCATTTTTTTTAACCAGAAGATGATGTCAAATAAGAAACATAAGTCATAATAGAATGAAACAAAATTCCTAATAGCACTTGCTTTGTGTAGATGCAGGTGCTTTGAGTTAAGGCCTTATCAGTTGAAAAAAGTGATCCTTATTAACTGAATTGATTACAATGATGCTGGTCTTATTACTTACTGATGATATCAATAGTCTTTTTGTTTTCCTTTTTTATGAATGGTTGATTAATTGTGACAGCTTATTGGAATGTTTCATGCAAAGGTAGGACTCAAATGTAGATGATAAATAAATAAATTGAAAACATGTCTGAATTCTCCTATATAGGCTGCTTTCACTAACGAAGTCAAAAATGTGAATTGCCATATGCACCCCTAGTTGATGAATGAAAGAAGACCCAGTACAGGGAATTTGACTTGTGCCACATACAGACAAATGCCTTTCCTTTCTTTTTCTTTTTTTCTTCAAAGACAAAGATCATTTTTCTTTTCCTTACCAGTGAAGTTTCGAACCACTGTTCGAGAAGTGTTTCCTGGATTTGCAAGAGCTGTAAATAGTGCACCTAAGCTTATGTAGTCCATAATCCTGGGCAAAATTGTGACAAAATCCTTCTTTACGTTATTATCCCAATAAGACTGGTTATCAAAAAGCTTTTCAAAGGAATCCACCGAGTCCTGCAGCATTACAAGAAGCAAACTTTTCAAATCTCATTTAGTGTTTCTCAAGCATTTCATTAAGAAAGTTCTTGCCAGGATATTGTAGAAGACACTCAATATACTTCAACTTGAATCTTACAGTGTTATATGGTCATATGGCTGGGTTCAGATATCATGCATAGCCAAAAGATGGTTTTATCACCATAACCATTGCGAGCCATTTTAGAAATCGATGTCAAAACAAACCTTGGAACCCAGTCTGTGGATATAAAAATCTCACCTGCTCGTTTTTCAAATTGAGCAACAAAATAAAACCCAAAGTTGTGACATCAGTTCCACAGCTGACATTAAAAAATAAATCTGAACTGCCTTTTACCTTTTTCCCTGCATTTTTAAAACCTTTCACAATTTAGCTTTTGTGGAGTTCTCAGTATAGACTCCCCCCATTTCTAAATTTCCAAAATATTTCTTATTAATTTTAAAACCACAGCAGGTCTTATAGCATATTAATGTTTAACAGATTAATTATGTACTTCATCAGAAATGGGTTTTGACTCAAAAAAGTTTACGCTACAGAGTGGATACATCTTGAAGTCTCTTGTTGGTGATGAAACTACTAGCATGGTTCCCCAATGGAAATATAAGCATGGATCTTGGATTCTTAATTATTTGTTAATTTTAATTAATAAAAGTATATATAAAACCTGATTTTGAATACCAGAATTAAATAAAATGTATTTACAGAATTAAAATACCAGACAATGGGATCTTAAGAAATATGGAACCAATTTATTTGCTTCTACCTTTCCCCTCCCCCCCCAGAATTTAGTTTTCCAATCTCATTTCCACTAATCATTGAAAAAGTCATTTCCCTTCCCTTCCCTTCCCTTCCCTATATCAATCCCATATTAAAACACATATATTAAATTTGAATCTTATTCAAAAAACTGATTCAGTTCGTAGAATAATGACCCTAGAATAATACATCATCAATATACACAATAGGAAATCATATAGACTTGCTTCTCAGAAAAGAGAAGCTATGGTCAAATGTTGTCTCTGCAGTTGTCAATAAATCTCACTTTCAGGGCGGATTCAGTAAGCATGTCACTAGCACCAACAGGATTCAAGAAGATCAAGGCAGGACCCATCACTGAGCAGTATAAATTCTTTTCCTAAAAGAAAAAGAGAAAGGAATCATGTGTCCTCAGTTCAATTGGCGAGTGAAGAAAGAATCTCTGCATCGTTGTTTTGGCAGGGGTTGATTCTGGGATTTGAAGTCCAAAAGTTGTAAAGTTGCCAAGATTGGAGACCCCTGGTTAGGACAGGATTGGAGACCTGCAGAAACCATCTGTGCAGGATCAGTTCACCAGACCCTGAAAGCCACATCAGTTTAAATTTCTTTCCTGGACATACTGATCCAGGGCTCTTTGTTTCTTCAGAAACAATGTTCTGAACACATTTTTTAGGGACTAGCAAATCTTCAGTCAGGCTGGAGGTTACCATACATAGATAAAATAAAAATTGTAGAAATTAGAGGCAGTGTTTTCAATGCCTGTCTTAAACTCTGTTTTAAAGTGATTTTTTAAAAAAAATTAACAACAGAGTTTCTTAGAAAATTAATTAACCAGCATTTTTTTTAAAGTGAACAATCTTACTCAATAATTGTCCACCGTGATCTGCAGAGGTCTCAAAGCCACACATGAGAAGGGCACATATATGCTAAAGGGTGCTCTTTCTTTGATTTCTCTCGACATAAATAAGTAGGAATAGAGGCATATCTAGACAACGAAGCAGGATGGCCTTGTTACTGTCACAGTTACTATCCCAATTGCTATCTCAGCAATAAATTGACTCACCTACCCCTCCCACTTCCAGCTGATAATATGAGCTCAAGCAGGTCCACAACTGATTGTGAATTGTCACAAACACCACACACAAATGTTTCTTGGGGTTAATAGCTTGTCATTATTCAAATTAAGCCTTTAGCCAATACACGTTTCACATCAACTACTCCAAGTACATAATTCTGCAGCATTGGTAGTATAAACAGGTTGATTTAAAAAGAAATTATACAAATTTAAAATATAATGTATTGCACTTACTGTTTTTTGTTCATTTGAACAATTATTTGAATTGAGAGTTTTTTGCACTTTTTCTAGTTGGGAGTCAAAGTGACTTTCTGTAAAGGAAAATATAAAACTGTAAGTACAAAGTGAACTGTCCACTTAAAAAGTTAAAATACTTTGACGGGTGACATCTCTCATACTCAGGGGGGGAACATTCTGATCCTTTCCTTGTGTGTGAAACAGCTTTGCTTACTTTTTATAATTGCACAAATCATCCTTTCATCCAAATTTAACGTGGCCCTATCCCTTGTGTACACTCATTGGAACAAAACAATCATTTTGTTATTGTTGAGAGACAAAATAATGTACTACAATTATTTGACATTATGCAGCTTTACCCAGAAATTAATCTTACTCCCACTTCTAAAACGACAACTCTTGATCTAAGCAATTGTAACACAATTTATAACAACCAATTAGACATTTCCGTTCTTTCCATTTTACAATAAATTCTGGAGAAGGCCATGGAACTTCATTTGCATCCTAGAAGAAACATCTTTTCTGGAATCTTCAACCAGGGCTTGGACTGGGAATGGGACAGAATTGGTTGTCCTGGTAGATTACTTATTTTGGGAATCTGGGTGGAGTGCACCCTTCATGGTCCTCTTAGATCTTTCAACAGCATTCAACATGCTTGACCATGTTATTCTTCTGGACACATGCAAAGGTAACTGTTGGAGGTTATATCATCTCTTTTACACTTGTAAGATGTTTTGATCATTAAAGCAAATTGTGAGAGATAGATAAGGGCAAGGTTTTATATGTTATCCTTGGTCCATTTGGCACCAGGCCTACTATTATTAAGTGATTCTTTGTTTAAAAGATAACAAGGAACAACCTCTCCCTCTTTTTTTCTTCTTCTGCAGCCCTCTTTTCAAGATTGATTTATAAATGTGAGGTTTTTCTATCCTCATGTGCTTCTGTGCTTGTTAAGGTCACAAGTATATCCTAACAAAATATATGCTTTAAGAAAGGCTCCTGCTGAATTCAAATTCCTCTGACTGAGGACCGGAGAAACTCTGCAGTTATTTCACTCCTTGCTTAGTGGACAATTTCAGCTGTTGCATGTGGGAAAAAAAAAAACTTGAGACAGTGGTTGCTACAATGTGGGGTATTATGGGTTCAATCTTCTCCCCCATGCCATTTAATACCTTCCTAAAACTTCTGGGAGAAACCATCTATCAGTTTTGGATTAGATATCATCAATATCTTGATATTATTTATCTATATATCACCACCGAAGTTGAGCCAAGCATACTGTGGAAATCCTGACATGGTGTCTGGATTACTAGATGGGCAAAACAACTTCCAATTAAATCCCTGCAACTTGAGAACATTGCTTTTTGTTGGGAATAGATGTGGCTCTATTCTAATTCCAGTCTTAAGTCTTGATGGAGTCGCCTCTCCTGTAAGCAGCAGCTGTGCAATTTTAGAGTTCTTCTGGACCTATTCTGCCTTCTGAAGCAGGAGAGAAAAGCTGTGGCTTTGCCTATCTCTGATTGAGCTACCAGTTACAGACCTACTTAGATAGGCATGCTCTGAGTTTAGTGAGTCATGCCCTTGTCAACTCTCAAACTGCTACCACACCATCTACAACATGAATTTGCCTTTGAAATGACATGAAGTACATCACCCCATCTGCTTGCTTGAAGTAGAATATTATTCTATCCTACACCTATCTCTCATTTGAAGCTACAGTCTGCCAGAAGCAGGAAGGAATTTTAAAGGTTCCCTACTTCTATTTTTTTTTTTGTATATTGGCTTATGCTGTGAAAGATCTTTTCTCCTAAGTTACAGAACTCTCTTGCCTTTCATAAATTGATTAAGACCAAGCTGTTCTGCTGATCATTTATGTGAACTGGTTTTTTAAAGAGAGATTGTCAGGTGCTACTTGCTCCCACTTTATTATATGTACCTTTTGTCAAGCACGTTGCCTAATTTGGAAATGGATATTATATAAAAGTTCTTGAAGTCATTCGGTGACATTGATTAAAAGGAGAGTTAGAACAGAAAATGCATTTCTTTTTTACATTTTATAACTGACCACAAAAATCTGGTAGTACTCAGTAACTTGGATGGTTTAGAGAGGCGATTACCTAAATTCCCACAAGATAGGTTATTATGTTGGATTTGAATTACATCTTCTGATTGTGAAAACTACACAGGCATCTGTTTGTCTGGACAAAATGGAACTTGGCATAATTCATTGTAATACTCTTTGTTTGTATTAATTTGTAAGAGAAATATTATGTGCAAAAGCCAGAAAGCCAACTAATCCAATTTTATTTATTTTACTTCTGTGCTAGAGAGAATGTACTGTCCATGCAAAACTCAAGATGAAATGTAAGCCCGTTGGCTGATTTTAAATGTTAATAATTGCTAGAAGTTTTAACTTTTTATCTTTTAAGAAGAATGCAGTTAGGGAAGGCCTTGCAGCCCTTTGCTCTCAAATCCATATCATGTCATAGACATTTATTAGTTTATAACTATTTTAAACTGCTCAATATCTCCCCAAAACAGAATGTTTCATTTATCAAGACATTTGTAGTGGTTGAACATTACAATTCTATTAGTTCCATTCAGTTAAGTTCAAGAAGATGGAATTGAAAAGAGTCAAGGAATGAATAAACTTACTCTCAGAAATAATATTATTTGATCCTGGCCTGGGGTATTTTTCACATTTGCTGCCTAGAAAAATAAGAAGGACATTTTCAGTGACCTTATTCATTTTAAGCAAGATTAGACATGGTATTGTCTCTTCCTTTAATCACATTATTCACCTGAATAATTAATCACATTATTAATCACATTATTCACCTGAAGATTTTAAGAAGATATAGATGACTGGCAGGTGTGGATTGCATTAAAAATATGGTCTTGATTTAGTGTATGATAATAGCATCTAATGCATCTTGTTATACTGTAAAAAGGCAGGAGTAACATGCTAGGAATATAACAAACTTAAATTATCTGCATTTTAACATGGTTTGATTCTGCCTTAACATATGCCAATTTTCATTAAGAAACAGCCAACGATGCGGAGCAAAGGAAGTACATAATTTCCATTAGTAGAAGGGGGGGGGCAGACCCTAAACCAATTTACCAGCAAGCATTCAAGGGTGGCATTAACTGTAAGAAGCAGCTGAGTCAAACAGCAACTACGTAGGTCCACACAAGGGTAAGACATCAAACCTGTGCCAAACCTGTGTTTAGTATGGGTCAACTTTTTGAAGTAGTCTAGACAAGAAGCCCCAACTGTGTAAAGAAATTATATTTCACTTCACTTTTATGCATATGTGATGAAGATGCAGACACAGTTTAAAACTTACCAAAAACTGCAAAGACCTTACACATAAAAAAGTTCCGTATTGATTCACCAAATGTTCCTACAGAAGAAAGCAATTCCTGTCAATCTTAAACCAAATCCAGCTGAGCAAGACTGCTAGAGTTTCTTTATTGATATAATCAAGCTTAGGTAACTGATGTCACATGGACACTACGGAATATTTAGCAGAAAGGATAAAGGAAAGGAAAACCTGAAAGGGAAAGGAAGTTTCTCCAAGGACTTAAGCAATGCCTACGTTATGAAATAGGTCCATGGGTTTTGGGCAATATTTTTTAGGAGAGGCTTGCCGATGGCTCCTTCCTAGGGATGAGAGAGCCAGTTGGATGCCTTTGGGAAAGCCATTCTTACTCTCTCTCACAGACTATATGCTTCATGTAATCATCAGATCCAAGACTGTTTCAAAGGCACCAAGGAAAGAAAGAGAAGGGAGGACTAGTACAGGTAGTGTTCAACTTACGAGAGTTCATTTCGTGACTGTTGAAAGTTACAACGGCACTGAAAAAAGTAACTTGTGACCATTTTCATGTGATCATGTGATGATCATGTGATGAAAATTCAGAGGCTTGGCAACTGGTTCATACTTATGACTGTTGCAGTGCCCCAAGGTTATGTGATCAGCATTTGCAAACTTCTGACAAGCAAAGTCAACAGGGAAGCCAGGTTCACTTAGCAACCAGGTTACTCAATTGTTGTTAAGTGATCCACAGTGATCCACAGTGATTCACTTAACAACCGTGGCAAGGAAGATTGTAAAATGGGGCAAAATCCACTTAACAAAATGTCTCACTTAACAAGAGAATTTTGGGGCTCAGTTGTGGTCATAAGTCGAGGATTACCTGTACAGATATTCTGAAAACGATCTTCTGAAAATGACCTAATTTCTGGATTAGGAGTTTAACAAGTTTGTGCTGTTTTATTTCTCAGTCTGATAAAGAATGTTAACAAACACAAAACTTGTCAGAGATTTCATTTTGTTAACCTTGCTGATAATTCTTCTCCCATAAAATGTAGCTAGATACAATCAGACATATAATAATATTTCTGTGATCTTTTCAGTGCAGTAGCTTATTTACATGCATGCATTTTATATGATCAAAAGGAAAGCTAGCAACAAGGAACCTTTTCCCAGTGATCACAGTTGCCTGTTTTGTTGAGGAATGGGAGGGGGATAAATAGCAATACATTCCATAGTTTGGATAGGGTTCCCCTACATAGAGTTCAAATTTTTATATCTGCTATAAATTCATTTGAGCAGGAAAAGTAATAATCTGTCAATAAAAATTCCATCATGAAATAAACATAAGCATGCATAATGCATGGCAGTTTTGGTGCAAAGGTACTGTATTGTCTAAAACTGGTGATACTGGAGAAAGATTATATATATATTTAATTCTTTAACTCTTTGTCAGAAAAAGAAATTTGGATTTAAATGTTTCGCAGTTGCGACTTGAGCCTGTTAACGCCCCTAGTTGGGGGGCTGCAAGGCAAAAGATATTGTAAAATGTGATCCCTAGGTAGTTCCATATTAGAATCAGTGAACAAACACGAGCACTAGGGAATATGATAAAATAATTTAATATTAAAATACTAATAAAACGCCAATTAAAACGCCTAGCTTTTGTCGGCCATCTGCCAACGTCCTCAGGGCTCAAAATGTCAGTCCATGGGAGAGTCGCTTTTATAGTTTGACTAGCGTGTGCGCACGGCTCCTTGACCTTGTTATTGGGCCGGCCATGACTAGGCACATTCCTGACGCCGGTTCCTTGGTAACAGCTTCCTCCCTCCCGCGCCTCTCATCCGTACAGCTAGCATCAGAGAATTTTTCTTTTTTAGAGCTGGATGTCAATGGGTCAAGGAGCCGTGCGCACACGCTAGTCAAACTATAAAAGCGACTCTCCCATGGACTGACATTTTGAGCCCTGAGGACGTCGGCAGGTGGCCGACGAAAGCTAGGCATTTTAATTGGCGTTTTATTAGTATTTTAATATTAAATTATTTTATCATATTCCCTAGTGCTCGTGTTTGTTCACTGATTCTAATATATATATATGTCTTTGGTTAATCGGGTTTTCTCCCGCATAAAATTGGAAGTGTCTTGGCGACGTTTCGACGAAGTCCCATTAGCTGATATTTGAAGGACAAGTACAATCTGTATTTAGGATCACTTTTTTATATTATTCCTGAGAAGGTAAATAAGTTTTACCTTCTTCATCTGCACAAGAAATTGCCAGTCCAAGACCTAAAATAAATAAAATGCAATTATAATATTAAAAGTATAACATAATTGTCTTTAAAATGCAAGATAATCCCCCTTCTTTTTTAACGGAAATAACTTTGACCTATTAAATTCCAGTTGCTTTGGCATAAAACTTGGATTTGTAATTCCAATTGTATCATGATTTGTTTAAAATTGTTATCATCATTGCACCATTACAATATATAAAAACTTACCATCCATTGGAAAAAGGATTATAAAATTGTTAAAATTATTCATTGTGTCAAAATAAGAACATTCTGATTGATTATGAGCACTATATTAAAAATCATGCTGAAATGCATGAAAAATTTTCCCTTAAGAATTATGGGAAGTGTTTCAAATAATAGATGAAAATTCATATGAATTTCTAGAGATCTTGCAAAGCACTCTTAACATGGTTGTTGCTTAGCTGATATCAGAAGGTGGTGTATTATGATGACCAAGGCATGAACTAAAATTATGAGAAAAACAATGAGAGGCTCCTATAGCAGGAAGTCTATATAGAATTAAAAACATCTGTTGATATTGAAGGTATCTATCTACTTATCTATCTAAGAGTAAAACTGACCCTCTCAAATCTAATATCTTTGCTGATAAAGCCCTTATTAAGACTTATCTCCTTACAAAAGAGTATGAAAAATATACAGCACCAAGCCACTACAGGCTGATAACTTGCCTTCCAAAAAACTAGTGTAATAACAGATGCCATATCAGATCATTTAGAAAATAGCGATCTGTCACCAGCAAAACAGAAAGGAATTAGATAAAAATAAAAATAAATCAACTTCTAATCGATATATGATTTTGGAAAATTTTCAAAAAAGGAGGGATAAATCTACATGTCGATTGGCTTAGTTATAAAAAGGCATTAAACTCATTGTCTCACAACTGAATTTTAACCTGCTTGGAAATGACAAGAGTAAGTGATAACTTCATAAACATGCTCATGAGCTAGAAGGACTAGACTGAAAAGTCTAGAAAATCATGACCATTAATTGTCCACTACACCCACAGTGTAGCATTGATAGTCTATATTCGCCCAAAGAGACGGCTGACATGGAACGCTACAATAGCTGCAATTGCTGCAAACAGCTGAAAAGCTAAAAAGAGCTCTGGTTGAATGGGTAGTCAAGAAGATACAGTATATTAAATTAGCTAATAAAGGAAAAGGAATGAAACCAAGCATATATATAAGAACGAGCAGCAAGTGATATGAGGGCAAAAAGCCATTACATGGCCAACACTTTAATAACATCTAAGAATGATGATGATGATGATGATGATGATGATGGTGATGATGATGATGATGATGATGATGATGAATGGTTAAAAAGGCACAATAAAGAAGGAAACAAGAGGAATCATTTTAGTGGCTCAATAATACTCATTATGTAATAAAAACCAAAACTGAGAAAACTTAGTATGATAATAAATGTTGGTTGTGCAAAGAATAGGACAAGATTTTGAACACTTCATATATTGATGGCCAAAGACTTTGTAGATTGAGTACTAGAAAACAGTAATAAATATATCACCTTTATTCATCAGAATTTTGGTAGGAATGGTAGGAATTACAACTTTCCAGCAACAAAGAATTGGTCGAATCACAATAAGGAACAAAGATATTAAGCTTCTGTTGGTCTTCCAATTACCAACTGGTAAACATTTAGTCTACAATAAGCTAGACATGATTGTAGCTACCAAAAAATAAGTATAATTGTCATGAAGTAGCTGAAGAGAGAAATATCAATGAGGAAGAACTAGAAAAGGTAAGGAAATATAACAATATTCAAAGTAAAGTCATAAAATAAAGTAGTAATAGTGCCAGTAGTGGTTGGTGGGCTTGATGCTGTATCAGACAATCTGGAAAATACTGAAACACAATAGGAATGGACAAAATTTCAGCTCATCAATTATAACATGTTGTATTCCTTGGAGAAGAGTGTACAATTATGACAGTATCTTTTAGCTAACCTAGATCTTTGGGAAGGAGCTTTTAGTAATAATTTCAATCATGGGTTCATTAAGACATTGTCAGGTGAGAAGAATCAGGACCGGATGTTAAATTCCAATTAAGATGATTTATTGTTCATGCCTATACATAAGTCATCCTGACAGCATACTAAAAAGCAGAGACATCAGCCTGCCAACAGAAGTACGTATAGTCAAGGCCATGGTTTTCCCAGTTGCAATGTATGGCTGTGAAAGTTGGACATAAGAAAGGCTGAGCGCAAAAGAATTGAGGCCTTTGAACTATGGTGCTAGAGAAGACTCCTGCGAGTCCCCTGGACTGCAAGGCGATCAAACCGGTCAGTCCTAGAGGAGATCAACCCTGACTGCTCTTTAGAAGGCCAGATCCTGAAGTTGAAACTCAAGTACTTTGGCTACCTAATGAGAAGGAAGGACTCAGTGGAGAAGAGCCTAATGCTGGGAAAGATTGAGGGCAATAGAAGAAGGGGACGACAGAGAATGAGGTGGCTGGAGTCACTGAAGCAGTAGGCATGAGTTTAAATGGACTCCAGAAGATGGTAGAGGACAGGAAGGCCTGGAGGAACATTATCCATGGGGTCGCAATGGGTCGGATACAACTTTGCAACTAACAACAATACATAAGAATTTAATCAACTAACAGTCAGCACTAAATTGGCACTAGAGTTAATGGAATTTAAGAAGGGTTGGACTTAGTGTAGCAACGTAATGACTCCAGGGTGATTCCTCTCTTTACTCTGCCCCCAGGCTTTGCCTGTCCTTGCCTGAATGAAAATAGCAATATGATTGAGTGGAAAAATTAAGATTGTAAAACTGCCAATATTATATCAATATTGATTCTTCTTAAATATTTTAAATAGTTATGGATACAATTTTAGGGATTAGTTGGAAATTGCTGAAATCAAACTGTTTTGAATCTTCAAAATCAGTGAAACTGCCTCTGTTTAACCCTCCACCCCCACCTTCCATTCCCACTCTCCGCACTCCCCCCCTAAAATTTCCTAAAAATTCTGTCTTTATTAGACTTTTTGAAGGAAGCTCCCAGGTCTTCTATGACCTTAGAACTTCTTTTAGGAGTGGATTTACTAAATACCAGCCTACAATTTCTGATAATGACCATTTTGGCTTGCAGAACATGATACAACACAACTGGATAGAAATACTTTAGCTGTAATATATTGCACTCAAGGATATCTGGTAGAGAGCCAAAGTATGAATGCTCACTCCTCCATTTTCACCAATTGCTTTAAGGCTGAGGTGCCTTAAAGCAGCAATGCCATCCAATTGGTATCTCTTGTCTCAGTACAAATCTTTCCCATTATATGGGACCTTCCACCAGGAATATATCTGCTGTACCAGTGAGCTATTATCTGTCACTTATCTTGATTTCCTTGAACCAGGAATTGTGTACTCACCTAGAATGATGCAAGTGATAAGATTCTTCATTGCCTTCCTGTGTGAGAGAGTGAATTAATGAATGATTTTAACCTTGTCTCTTCCGAGGTAAAGCATAAAGGAACTAAAAAGTGCTATGAATAACCCAGTGCATTAATACGTATTTCCTATAAGGAAAGGGCGGGCAGAGAAATATTAAACATCACCAAAAATGTTACTGACTTATAGTCTTAAAGTCACGCTTATAAACCTATGAGTTATTTTTTATCATTATATCCAGACTGACTGGGGATTTCTGAAATTTGAAGTTCAAACATCTTAAAGTGGCTAAAATTGAGAAACACTGATACACGTAATGATTATTTTCAGTGCAGTGGTTAACTTACATGCATTTATTCTTCAGAATTGCCAGTAAGTAAAAAAGGGAAACTGACAAAAAGGAAGTTTCTCTCAGGTATTACGGTTGCCTGTTTTTCTGAGGAGGGGGAGGAGATTGTAGCCACCATATCAATAGGTACAGAGAGGCTACCACTCCCATAGGGAAGCCTTGTCCCAATTACCAACATATCCCCAGCTTGCAAAAAGGCTCCCTCCTGCCTCATCAGATTGACTAGTTAGATCAGTAACATGTGGACTTTGATCTGAATATACTAAAGTAAAATGGATACACCACCCCCATTTCTATCATCTACCACCAGAATCCACTATGAGTAGCTATATTTCAAAAAAGTGTTTATTGTACATATTGTACATATGTACAATAAAAAAGTACAATAAAAAGTGTTTATTGTACATATTGTGCATATCAGTATGTCATATCAACTAGAAAGAGAAGATTTAATAAAATTCATGGATTAGGAAAAGTTATGGAAGAGATGTACATCCATGGAGCATTAGAAATTTGCAGCATTATTTATCCATTCAGTATCTATATCTGTATCTCTCTCTATTTTTCTCTCTATTTCTATCACTATCTCCATCTCCATAGCTATGTCTATGTCTACATCTATATCTCTATCATATTTATCTATCATCTATTTCTATCTATCTTCTGTCTATCTATCTATCTATCTAGCATCCCCAATTACCTACATTTATTAGAGATTATTTCCTGAACATGAATATGTACATAAGGCTCCTATTCATAGAAAAGGTAATACATCATCTGAGTATGTGTGCATAGAAGTACACATTCTGTCTTCCTGAGTTCTCTTTCCATTCTGACTTTTCAAGTACCACCTATTATGTACAGATCCCTGGGTCATACATCTAACTTTTAGTAGACGTGGAGAAGATGTACAATTTCATGGATCAAAAATGAACTTAGCTGACATGCAAAATCTAGCTCAATCAGCATTTATATGAGAGGATAAATAAGTTCTATCTTTTTTTATTGTATAGTTCATTGACAATTAATACCTAGAATAAATGAAATGGAATTATAATAGTATACTGTAATTGTCCTTAAAACACACTTAAACTAACAAAAAAGGTACAATATGACAGTTTGATTTGGTCAGAGTGGTAATAAAAAACATTTCTTTCTTCCTCCTTTTCTCCCTCTGTCTACAGTTTGTGGGAGAGAATAAATAACTGAT